AAAAAAAAAAAAAWATCACTGATTTATCAGGATTTTAGGTGGTCTTCTTGAAAAAAGTTTAAAAATATTGTCGATGTACTTGTAGTATGCTAGAATGCATATTTTAATTGCAAAGTTGATCTAATATGTGCTTTTTCTACATACTTTATCTGACTCTCACCACCGTAGAGGAAGTTTATAGGAGAAGGCTAAAAGAAAAACGTAAGCCTTGCAATTCCCTCCTGGCTCTGTCTCCCTGTTCCTTTCCCCCAGCTGTAACTCAGTGCATTCTGCAGCAATAATTCCACATTTTGTTTCCATTTGCCTGGTTAATTATAATGCACACCAGACACTGCTTTCACTGCAGACAGCTCCTTGCCCTGCTCAGTGAGATTTCACTTCAGAAATAAAGGCCAGAGGTTCACAAATTTAAATTGTTGGGCTTCAAAGGGACGTTGGCAAGGTTAACAGAGCCAAAACTTCTCATTTACCCCCTTTTATTTACACGTAGGTGAACCCCATTTAATATCTGCAAAGATAGCTTTAATTGAAACTCTTTCTCTTTGGAGGGAAGGATTCAGATTTCAATCACTCCATTAAATTTTTTAAAAAAGGTCTGAATAAATATTTCCATACTTGAAGCTGTTAATAAACATTGTAAATAAAATTTGCATTACTGTGCTTAGATCTACCTTGACACCAGTCCTTTTTGGAGTCTAATATTTATAAAGAGAAATCAGTAGGACTGTGATTTTTTAAAAAAGATTTCCAATTGCTTGCCTGTTGCCTGCTGGTTTTTGATTTGATTTTTTAGTTTTTGATTTGCCTGTGCATGTCCTGTGTCTCTTCTGTGAGAAAATGCCTGCAAGGTTCATTTCCATGTTTTAAAACTTAATCATTGCAAGGTGTGCACTTTCCACAATCCCTGCAATAAAAACTAATTGCAGCTTTTTCCAACAGCTCAGCTGTGACTTTGTATGTTCAATATTTACTTGTAAAACCTTTTTTCCACAGATGCTCCTTAGCAAGCTTGATTTTCTTTCCACTCTTTTCCTTTCATGCCTGTTTTCATTTTTTTTGTGAGCAAGTGGGTCTGGTTTAATGGCAAAGCATGAATTACCACAGTTGAACTGTTTTAGGTTCTGTCTCCATCACTTACATTTGGTTTAAAGGAAGAAAAATGTGCAGAGAAAAATGAGAGATTTGGTTAAGCAAAGTTAGGACACAATTAACAACCTCRTACATTTTCAGAGAGTGTTTTAATGGACTCGACCATAACATTCCTGGATAATCTGTAGCAATAAATTATGTGTGAGGCAATCCTGCATTAGCTCATGATGTAGATTTTAACCGAGTTATTTCTTAGAGAAGTATTTAAGTCAATAACATTTTACAAAATTCCCTTGTATCAAACCAGTTTTTTGTTTCTTTTCATTCCCAAGTTCATGAATGTCCTTTGTTTCTCATTGGCTGCCAAGTATTTTTTCTCAGATGGAACATAATTCATTTTCAATCCTACTTAAAATGATTTCTTTAATTATATAACAGCAARCACACTCTCATCTTTTCCTTTGCTTAACTCTCACAATTTAAAATAGAATTATGTAGCATTTTAGTGGTAAATGGGGATGTTTGTGTTTTGCAGTGCTTTCTGAAGTTCAGCTTCTGAAAAACTCTACATAAAAGTAATTTAATAGTGCATTGTCCACACCACTGACATAGTTTTAGTTACTCATAAGAATATAGGGAGRGTGTCACAAAACATCTGTTTACAGTAAATATAGCAAATTTATTTCTCTTACAACGTTTTAAAACATTTTTAGACCAAGAAGTTCAACGGTTGAAGATAGGAATGGAGACACTATTGGCTGCAAATGAAGAAAAGGTGAGAAAATAATCCTTGTTCTGTGGATGAAGAATGAAATTGTGGCTTTGAATCTCTGAAATGTTCTGAGTGATGCATTTTCTTTAAGGACTGAACGAGAAAGGGGGTTTCATTCTTCAGCAGACTGTAATTTTTATGATAATAAATCAAGCCACGGGATATATGATCAAATAGATAATGAAGTGCATCCCTTAAAACTTCCTTTAGTAAATGGGGAATTCAGACAGGGCAGCATTAATCTGGAGAAGCATTAATGTGGCTCAGAACATTTAATTCTCAAAAAAGCTTTAATATCAAACTCCTCTGCTTTCCTTACATCCATCATTTCACAGTGCCCAGCAAATATTGTGTACAACGGCAAAGAAAAGCCAAGAAACATTCCTTATGAGGCACGTGAGAGACATGAGTGTGCTTTGGTGACAACCAACAGAAAACCCCAGTGTTTCTGCAGGTTTAAATTGTAGGATTTTGAATATGATTTTATTTAATGTTCCCCCAGGACCGTCGGATAGAGGAGCTGACGCTGTTGCTGAGCCAGTACAGGAGGGTCAAGGACAACCTGATTGCAACTCATGGTAAAATCATTTCCTGATTTATTTTTTTTTTTTGAACTTTCTTTGGTGTTCCCTTGTGACCCTTATGAGGTTTTACAGCCTAAAATGCTATCAGGAGAATTTTATGAATATTAATCAGTTAAATACATGCTGTATCAAGGTTTTCTTCAGGAACTGCAGTAAGGGCACAATGTTTCCCTTTCACATCATGTTTTTAATATGGCACTTATTAAAGGGAAGCTGATCTCAGGTGCTTTTCCATACTGTGTGGAGGGTTTGGGTTTTTTTGCTAAAACAGTTTTGATGGATATTGTAAGTTCTTTTGCAATTCCTTTCCACTAAGGAATATCCTGAGAGCTGATTTGATGAGTTTTGGTTGGAAGGAACAACTGAAAACCCACAGCTGCTCTGGTGCTTTGAATTTAACTTCAAAATCTGGGGTGGGGGGAGAAAAACCTTTTGTCCTATTCCTCACTTACCCTGTAGGAAGKGGAGTGGGTTTTAGGACAATCTCATTTTAAATTGTCAGTATGAATTTAATCTGGGAAGCTCCACCTTCTGAAAGGACAGTTTTGTTCCACGTACATCATCACTTTAACCAACAATAACAATATTTTTAGGCCTTGTGTGGCAGAATGGAAACTTCATATTTAACACATAAAAATAGGGAATAGGAGTAAATCTCTCTCTGAATGTTCATTAAAAAATAAATAAATTAAAAGGAGTGAGGCACAATCCATCATGCTCTGGATTATTGCACTGACACTGCAGAGAGAGTGATGGTGTTAATGTGCACAGATATTAGTTAAATGATAAGTTACTGGCACAGATATTCCCAAGAATGTAAATAAAACACAGCAATGGTCATAGGAAAACAAATAAAACCCCCAAATACAAACCTGTGCAGAATTTAGGCTGTCTGAGATGGCCCTAAAAGCTTTTTCTTTTCTTGTTTCTCTCCCTTTTTCTACTCTCTAATGCTTTCAGGCTCTTCTGTCTCTGGTGGCAGTGAAGAGGAACTCGAGGCATCCTTGAGGAAGTGGAATCTTTTGAATAATTCTCAAGGAGAATTACTGAAAACAGAGGTACAGCTGTTTTAGGAGCAGGTTCTGCTCTATAGATGACTTTTGGGTGTTGGTTTCTCTGCAGTGATGAGTGTTCTGCCCTCCCTGAATTTTTGTATTTCTTGGTATGGGCACAGCAGGTTCAGCACCAGAGTTCCAGGATTTAATTCTTGTGTTTTACCCAGGTCCCTGCAGGAGATTTGTCACCAGCTCTGCTCCCTCCAGTGCCACACAAAGCCATGGAAATTAGGCAAGACCTTTCTTTCTCATCTTTCATGTGGGTTGTCCTAAATCTGTATGATTTAGACTCTGACTAAATAATTGGCATCTTGTCTTGACTGTTCTTGGCTTTGCTGTGCCTTTGGGTGTTTGTGCTTCTCATGGAGGTTTGCTATGCTTAGCTGAATCAGCTTTAAATTAGAGGAAGAAATCCACATTTTCATATATCAGAAGATCTATGCACTGTAATCCTTTTAACTATCAAATTTATTTCTATTTAAAGTGGCAGCATTCCCGTATCTTCAAGTAATTTAACCTCAGCACAAGAAGACTCTTTGGAAATCACAAATAGGTAAGAATGAATAACTTCCCTTGAAATGTAAAACATTTTTCCTTTCTAAAAGCCCAAAATGTTGCACATTGCTCAGAGAGAGTTATTGCTGTGCTTTTTAAGAGCTCATAATGTCATCTGATATCTTCTTGTTTCTCACTTTATCTACTGCAGTTTTCAATACCATGATTTTATTATCAAAATATAGTAAAATTATTGAATCTCTTAATTCTGACTCTGTTTTATGCAGACATTATGTGATATGTACAACTGTTTATGAGACACTGGTGATATGCAAACAAATCATGTTGTACTAATTGCTGCTTTTTTGACTCAATTTTTGTAAGGGTTCCACAGAAAAAAAAGTCAAGCAGTTTAGAAGACTTGCAGAGTGAATCCTTGGAAAAGGTTGGTTTATTGTAATCACAATTTCTGGTGTTTAATAGCACAGCTAGGAGACAAAGATCTAGTTAWAAATAAATATTCTTTTTGTTTTACATATAGTAACTTTAACATCTGCTAATAATGTATGTGGGGGAAAAGCCCTAATGATAAAACAGTTCATGTTTTTTCCATCCCATTACCCAGCTGGTTGACACACCCACATGGACACACCTTCAAATTCAGTTTTTCCACTGAGAGAAACAAAAATATTTAAGACAAATACAAGAAATAGCAAGGAGTCATTTTGTTAAACTGCAGTCTTGTTTTATTTATAGGTATTTTAAAAACCATTTTTACTTTCAAATCACTGAAAATATTAAAGCAGCTAACCTGAATGTAGTTATATGTTGGGACTGGGTATTTGCACATAGGGTTCTTTTTTGAGTGCATGTTAAGTGTGTAATCCCTTAAAACTTCTGACACAAATGGCTTTCCTGAGGATGGTGTTGATAGTTAAAACAGCAGAGCACTGTTCAAAGGCTTTAATTCCATCCCAGAATAAAAAAAACCTCCCCAATTTGCGAAGTTCTTGTTCCATTGTGGTCCAGTCTTGTTTTGTCATTATGTACACTGTTATTTTTCTGCACCTACAATTGTGCTTTGTGAGACTGTTGTTGATGCTTTCTGTACTCAAGTTAGGCTTTCTATACTCAAGTTAGGCTTGGTATTAGGTTACCTGCACCCAGCAATGCCATTCAAACCAGATACCAGTTCTTAATTTTTTTAAAAATGTTTCTTAAGTCTCTGAAGATAACAGTAACCAAATAGAATGCCCAGAAACCTGAAAATAGCAAAATTCCTTTSATCACAACAGAACCTAAACTCAGCCCAAATTTTGTAAAGTGGGAATGAACAAACAAAATTAATATTAAATATTGGATTGAAATTAAATGAAGATGGGTGAAGTCCTTGTCATATATTGTCCATATCTTAAGCAGCATGTCCACAGTAATGAGACTTTAATTGATGTTCCATGTATGTTTGTTAATACTAACATTTGTCTGTTGCTTTTTTCCATAAAACTTTGAAATTGCCCTCCCTGCAACTCCGTAGTATGTAGATGGAAAACCAGCACAGCCTGTTGTAGAACAAGAGGTATATTAACTGCAACCTTTGCTAACAATTCTCTGTTGTGATGTGATGGTATGGGTGGGTTTGTATTTTATGTTCATTTTCTCTTTTAAATGTTTGTATGGTTCCAGTGCTAACAAGCAACACAGGGGAATATTTTGGTTTTTATTTTTTATCTAAAAGTTTGTTACATGAAGCTAAGGTCAGTCATTCTCAGAATATACCCTGCTGATGTAAGATACAATTTCTCTACTCACACAATTTTTGGTACAAGTCAGGATGTACCCCTGCAGTTGCCAAAAAGGAGTAGGAGCTGAGCAATCTGACCTGCAGCTGAAAGTATCCAAAAAATCCTTTAAGCCTTGGAATAAGAACAGATAAAGCAGTGGTTATCTCATTCAATATTTMATGTATCATCCTGTCACAGACATTGTTTTAAAACAATTTTGTTGGAATGGAGCTATTCAGTTTTTTCTATGAAACCTCCATTCTGATCCTGAAACATTTATCAGTGTGAGTTTATTCCAAAACACTTTTTCTCAAATTTAAGAACATTGTGTACGTGATTGCAAATGCTGTGAACAATTTGATTTTGTATTTTATCTTTCTCTGTTTTAAACCAACAGAGTAAGCCAGTTGTGAAAAGCAGCAAGTACCAAACGTTGCCAGGAAAGCTGCCCCGAGCTCTGCAGAACGGAGAGCAGGGRATGTACAACAGCCCAGAGAGATGTGACAACGAGAACAACGCTGTGCCAGGCTTCAGTATGTACCTGAGGGATAAAAAATACAGTTTGAGGGGTTGGGACACAGCATGGGATCAAATCTGCCATCCCAGAGCAATGTGTGATGTTCACATGGATCAGTTAGGGAATGTTCTATTATTATTATTATTTTTAATRCCAAAAATATCCCCACAGCTCAGTGAAGGATGAATTTAATTTAAAAGAGTTTTCTTTGGTACCCTTGACTATACCATTTGAAACTTTACAAGACAGCCAGCAAAAACCATCCACACTTTGGATAAAATCCTTGTACCAGCACTGTTGGTTGCTGTACCTGGTGGGGACCCACAAGGGAAAATTTAATTTGCTACACGCAGGAAAACATTGGTGGATTTTGGAACTACAAATATATTGACACACACAATCAGGTATTTTTCTAAGACTGAAGAACTTGGGAGCTCAGGCACAGGAGTGTCCCCTGTGATTCTGAAGTTTTCCTTCTCTTCACAAGTTCAAGTGGGGTTTTTTTGTTTGGCTGTTGTTTTTTTCTTTGGCAGGGGTTGGATTATTTTAAGACCTCGTGTTCCCAAAAGCTGCTTGCACACTGTAGTTTCAAGAATGCAACAGGTTGTAGTTGTTTAGGGGTTTTTCAAGAGGGGTTTTAGTTTAGGGTTGTAGTTGTTGTAGGGGTTTTCTGTGATTGCAGCTCTGTAGGCAGTGCATGAGCCATGCTCTCATGTCTTTAACTGCAGGATTATCTAAGGATGGGTGAGTTTGCAAAGGAAAATGTTCTTTTTCTAGAAACAAGCAATGGCTTCTTAAATACACTGAGTTAAGAGAATTTTTTCTGCAGGTTGGTTTGGTTCTTGCACATGCAGCAAACTCGTTCCACGTCCAATTCTGTATTTCAGAGCAGTTCAATGCAATCTCAGCCCTTGCTTCATTTCAGATACTCTGCAGGCTTCGTAGAGCTCTGTAGTATTTGCTTGAAGTGCTGAAAGTGTCCAAGAATAGTCAGAAAAGCCCAAAACAGATCCATTATCAGCCCTGTCTGTTTGAAATGATCTGTGCACCATTCCTGGGGCTCGTGCACACCGATGCGTATTCACCTCCACGTCGAGCRTAACTGCTTCTTTTCTTTTGGTTTCTGCTTTTAATGCTTAGCTTACTACTTTTGCCCCTCTGTAACTTTATTTTGCTGGTGTTTTGTATCTTCTTTGCTTCTCCATCTGGCTTTCTGCTTCTTGGGATGACTGAAGATGGCGGCAGGAGTGTCAGTGCACCAGTGCTAGGTACTGTATCCCAAAAGATGCAACTTTAACACCCATTTTGCAGCTTCCTTTGGTTCTTTCCTTTCCCCCTCCCTCCTTTCCCTATGAAATACTAATCCCACTTTAACCACGTAGATTGAACTCCTTCCATGCAGTACTGAAATGAAGTAATAGCTCCTGCTGTRTGGCATTCACATGGGATTTCTTTTKGTGACACTTAYTGCTGGTTTCMTTCTCTTTTCACTGAAATCAGAAAAATCCCCTCTGATTTKGATGGAGGAGTTAAGGTATTTAGAGCAGGCAAGAAGACTGTAAATGAATTCAAATAATGTAGTTAAACAGAAAAGACCAAAATAACAATATTATTTTACCCAATATTTATTCTTTTTTTTTTTTAATCAAATGTTTTTTCACCTTCTAAGGATGTTTTTAAATGCAAGAGTAATTTTATAGGTATCAGTACTTTTTTATCATGTTCTGCATTTAAACATTAGTCTCCCAGACAAGAACTTTATCGATATTTGATATAAAATGTGACTATATTATTGTTCTTAACCCAGGAGAAACAGAGAACATGGATGGAACAGTGGTCTCAGATGAACTTTCACCCCTTTCTTCGGGAACAGATTCAGGTCCACAATCTCCATGGTCTCCAGAAAACAGAAAGAGCCCAAAAGGGATCAAGAAAATCTGGGGAAAGTAAGGTCTTTTTTTTTTTTTTTTTATTTCACTGCCAAAGCATTTCAGCTGAGAATTCATTTGATTCCCAGCAAAAGCTACAATTATCTATAGCAAGAATAACCTAAAATTTGGGGAAAGGAGAGAGCAGCTCTGGGATTGCACGGGTGTGTCCTTATGTACACRGGGGTGTAGAAAAATGGATGGGAGTGTTCACAGCGTCATGCTGCTGAAAGAAATAAGGCACTGCTGTCATCTTAATGCTATTAATTTAGCATGCCAGCAGATTTATTAGCCATGAAAAATTAAATTATAGCAAGTTGATCATTACAAAAGGCACCAGGTAACAAAATAAGAGAAAACAGGAGGAACAAAAAGCAGGGCACTGTTGTGTTCACTTGATCTGCTGCAGAAACAGCAGCCTTTTCCAAGTCTGGATTATTAATTGGAGTGAAGTCTTACAGCTGCTCTGTGGAGATTTTTTTTTTTTTCTCCAGAGTTAGGTCCAGACTGAATTTCCTAGAATTTCTTCAGCCACCTCTGGAATTTGGCATTTGTGGTTTCCAGGGGCATTAACAGAGCTGTTTTAGTTGTCACTGTAATTTCYATGTAGAACATCCTCTGTCACCAGCTAACAGTCCTGTCGTGGCACTCTTGTCTTGAAAGAATCCGCAGAACTCAGTCAGGGAACTTCCCTGCAGACGACCTGGGGCTGGCAGAGTTTCGGAGAGGAGGGCTCCGGGCCACCGCCGGACCCCGCTTATCGCGCTCCAAGGACAGCAAAGGGCACAAGAGGTGAGGGCTCCTCCTCTCCCTGGCACAGTGTGTGCTCAACAGCCAAACCCTCCTCTTGGCAAAGACAAATTGCCCAAGCAGCTCAGCACACGTGGAATTCCACAACAGTTGGGAGGGATTTGTCTGGTAGCAAAATTATCCTGAGAATCTACGCTCTGCCAGCTGCAAGCTGGAGCACTCGCTGCTTGGTGWGTGTCAAAAATTTCACTTGTTAAAGAACAAGGAGAATTAYCATCTYGAGAATCCAGCAATTCCCTTCTCCCTCTTTCCATACAGAAAMTGAGAAATTCTTCTCTGCTCTGCARCTGTTCATAAATTGTGGCTGGGCTGCCAAATTCCCAGAACACAGCACCCCAACGCATTTGCTGCAGTGATGCCTCTGGYRCAYGATGAGCTTTTCAAAATGGACATTTATTCTTTCCTTTAAGACTTTTCCACTCTTTCTTGTGCTTTTCAGTGACCACAATGCTCCATTTGCTCAGTGGAGCACTGAGAGGGTTTGTAACTGGCTGGAGGATTTTGGCCTGGGCCAGTACGTGATTTTTGCCCGGCAGTGGGTGACGTCAGGCCACACGCTGTTAACTGCCACACCTCAGGACATGGAAAAGGTAATCCCTGCTTGTCTCAACCTGTTGATTCTGTACAAGTCCTCTAAACCATCAGCTCTGCCTTTCTGAAATCCGTGGTATCAATGCTCATGTGAGCAAAGAGAGCCAAAGCAAACCTTTTGTTACTGGTTTTCGTTGCAGGAAATGGGAATAAAGCAACCACTGCACAGGAAGAAATTGGTTTTGGCCATTAAAGCAATAAATGCAAAACAAGATGAGAAGTCTGCACAGCTTGACCATATCTGGGTGACACGTAAGTGTTTGAACTCTGGTGGAATACGTTGGGAAGGAATTTCTCCTGCCTCTATGAATGGGCTGCCTGATAAATGTTTAAGCAGTTACCAAACATCTTTTAAAAAGCACAAAGCTTCAATGTGGTATAATTGAGGATTTCTGTGGTGTTCTTGGCATCCAATTATGCATACCATATGTGGTATGCTCTTCCACGGGGAACTCTGTCAGATTGCAGGGAATTAAATGGGTGAGCTCAATCCAGGAAGAGCTACATGATGCTGCAGAAGGAATGTGCTCCATCACACGCTGAATTGTCAAATATCAAAGCTGTTTGGTGGGAATTGCTTCTGGCTGTACTTGGGCAAGAGGACTGAGTAGAATGAGCTTCCTGAATGCCTGGAAAGAAGCCAGGCCAGACGAGGGGAGTAGCAGTTCATTGTCACTGATGTGGATTTGGTTCCCCACTGCTCTTGTGTCTGCAGGATGGCTCGATGACATTGGCTTACCTCAGTACAAAGACCAGTTTCATGAATCCAGAGTGGATGGGAGGATGCTGCAGTACTTAACTGTGGTAAGTACAATCCTTTTTCCTCAGTTTAATTCCAAATTTAATGTCAGAATAAGCAAAAACTGCTACAGTTTTCMTTTGAATGTGAGCAGGTAAAGAATTTTTGCAAGACAGCAGTAGTGCCACTAATAACTCCTTTGTGCTGCTCYAGTGCATGAAATCTGTTCCTCAGGTCCATAAAATAAATCCTGTTGGGGCTAACTTCTGCAAAGTCCTTCTTTTGTAAAATGTACCACACCAGGATTAGAAGTAAAATGACCCATTTTACAGTAACCTTTGGAGCACTTTGTTCTACACAATAAGTTAGCAACAGTCTTCAGTAAAGCAAAAGCAGAAAATGCAGTGATTTGTACAGCTCTGACCACATTCACAGCACACTGTGAATCACACACAGCCACCAGGTTTTCTTCCCATTCCCCTGCCCAAATCTGGATAATTAAGAGCTGGATTTGTCTTCATTCTTTAGCCAGGTCTTGCTCTGCTGCAGTGTTTAAAAAAAAAGGCCCAAGAAGCCAACAACAGAACCTCCCCCAAAAACTCCACCCTAAAAAACCCAACCCTCTTTAAAGCATAAACTTTCATTTTACCTCTACCACAGTTTAAACTCTTTCTCTTGGAGCAAGTACCTGTTTTGGTGTGTTCTGTGCCACCTAAAAGTCTCTGTCCTTCCCAGAATGAYCTTCTCTTCCTGAAAGTCACCAGTCAGCTGCATCACCTGAGTATTAAATGTGCCATTCATGTGCTGCATGTCAACAGCTTCAACCCCCACTGTCTACGCAGGAGACCAGTTGAGGAGGTAAAAGAATGTTTAAAGAAATTAATTAAGCAAACACAAATTACCTGGCTCCACCCAAGGGGGATAGCAAGTCAGCAGTGTACCTTGACACAACAGAATCTCTGCTCCTAGAGAATTGCACCTGAAGCAGTAGTTATGCCACTTATTAGTTGAATCTCATGCATTTCTCTTTAGAAGTTACTTRCATAGTTGAAAAAAGTTAATTCATCTTCCAAGGGAATAATTTGGAGTGATTTGTCTTTGCTTGACCTCATTTTGTGATTCTGAAAATCTCTAAGGTTTTTACCTTACCYGATCAGCATAGTTTTGTGTTAGTATTGAACACTGTCAATAACACTGCTGTTGTTACTGGAACTAAAATGTTCCCTTTTTATATTTGTAATCTGTAATCTCTACTGTTGCACTGCTTGATGCAGTTTCATCTGTACTGGACTTGAAAGAGGCTTTGAGCAGAAACAATCCCATAGTGAGGGAAGCAGAGCTGCCCTTTGAGGAACAGGAGGGAGCTGTTTTTATCTGAACTGGGAAYGCATCTGCACACACTGGGGCAGTGCAGGCTGTGCTCTCATCACCTCCTGTGCTTACTCCAACAGAACAATGTCTCACCTTCTGACGTMGTGCAGTGGTCCAACCACAGAGTGATGGAATGGCTCAGATCTGTGGATCTGGCAGAATATGCACCCAACCTTCGAGGCAGCGGAGTGCACGGGGGCCTGATTGTAAGCATTTACTATTTTACTACATCTCTACTAAAAATCAACTGTAATAGAAAACATCTTTTATCTGATGTTTGTCATTCAGGAGGAAACAAACACATCTGCAATATGGCAGCRTGATCAGGCCTTCTAAGGAGYCTCTTTATCTGATCCACACATCTTMATTTYAAAAAGAAAAACTAAAACAAAAGAGGAATAGCTAAAACACTTTTTTATAATCAAAGCCGAGCTGTGCATGAGTGTTTGACAGCAGCACATAAAAGGAAACCTGAACTGTGCTGTGAAAAAGTAACTGATTGATAAAGCATTACTGAGTGTTTCTTTGAGTGGTTTTATCAGAACTCTGAGCCATGGCAGATAATCATTTCAAACTCACAGCAATCAKGAATCACATTTTTTTTAGTTCAAAATGATTTGCAGCTTAGTAATGTCAGAGTTCTGAACTACCATGATTCTACTGCTGCACAATTTTTGCAAAAATTAAATAGCAAAAATTCTATTGTGTGTATAATGTAAGTAGAGCAGAAAATTCTGAAAGCAAGCTTGTTCAATCCAAACAAATTTATGGTTTGATWATTAATATAAATATGTGTTTGCCTGATCACCTCAGTGTTTTTCTTGGCTCTTTTCATGTGTTTCCCACTCAAACCTCAGTGAGTATCATGCGTGAGCTATAAAAGGTCTAATGTGAACAGATACTTAGCGAGAAATCTTCTGCTAAGCACTGTGATGGTTTACTATTGCAAATATTTATATAAAAAGTAACTATCCTGCCCTTTTCCCAGATTCTGGAACCTCGCTTCAATGGTGACACGCTGGCCATGCTCCTGAACATCCCACCTCAAAARACCCTCCTGCGCCGCCACCTCACCACCAATTTTAACGTCTTAATTGGGCCAGAGGCACAGCAGGAAAAAAGAGAAATCATGGAGTCAGCAGCATACACACCTCTGACCACCACTGCCAAAGTTCGGGTAGGTGCTGCTGACAAAAGGGAGAATTTTAGTGTCGGACATCTCCACTCTGAATTAAGAAAATATGGGACAAACATGGGCAGGGTGAGGTGAATTCCAGATGATACCAAAGCTTTTACTATGTATCAGTTTAAATCAGCTCCTGAAATAAGCATGCAGTCTGTTCTGTCTTTTCTTAGAAGGGACACCATGTGAATGCATTTAACTTCAGCTGAAACTCCCAATTTGAAAACAAATGTATTTAGTTCAGAATCTATGTTCTTGAATGACCAGGGTATAACTGTAAATGAAAAAGGGGAGGATTTTCAGTGTTTACAGAACAACCATACTTGTCTTACTCAAAACTACTTGTGTTGTCTCCTTATTTCAAGCCAAAGAAACTTGGATTTTCACATTTTGGAAACTTAAGAAAAAAGAAGTTTGATGAATCAACAGACTACATTTGTCCTATGGATACAAACCCAGTTGCTACGAATGGTACTTCRAAAAACTATGGTGGCCACAAAGGACTGAGTCCTTTCAGTGACAGGGAACTGGATCAGGTGGGACAGACAGACTGATGCCATGCTCATCTCATCCTCTCCATGCATTCCAAAGCTTGCAAATAACCAAATGTTCCTCTGTAACAAACTCTTTGCTACATCCGCATGAACTCACTGAGAAAGTATTGGCTGTGGACACTGGAAAGAGTTCCAGACTAAGAATGTTGGGGTTTTTTTTTTTAATCAACATCATAATAAACTCATCCATCCTCAAGCCCTTTTTCAGGACTATGACACCTTTACACTACGAAGATCGAGGTATTTTGTCAGTCAAGAGGGTGGTTGCARTAAACATAAGACTTTTGTACTTCTAGCTTTCATAATCTTAGTATGGCATAATCTTATTTTTTATTATCTTTATGGGTGGTTTTTRATGTAATAACTTCATTTGGACAAATTTGTACAAAGCTATCAAGTTATATTAAAGTACAACTGGGTTGTATTTTTTAACAGAGAGTAATCAGAGACTCTGATTGAATTTTTCTTTCATTGTGTACAGTGGGGAGTAGKTCTGCTTAGACAATACATGTGAAAACAATGCATCAGTAATGAACAAGATTCTTAATAAACCAATATTAATTCATTTGTGCTATGTAGTAGTGAACTTGTGAATTAAACTGTCTAGAGAGCATTCAAATGATGAAGATGAAAAGATCAAATTTTATTTCAACTTAATTGTTGTGTAAAGGGATGTAAACCCTGAAAAATGGAGCGCTCCTGGAGCCTTGTGTGAACTTTGGCACACACAAGAGCCAGACAGAGAAACCTGGAGTAAACTGCCCTTTCTCCAGTGACATAGAAACATTTTAAGCCTGATAAGAGAATGGTACAACATTGAAAAGACTAACTGTGAAGGTGATTTWTGCATTTGCATGGTTTACTGAATCTAACATCTCATTTGTGTTCATTAGCTAACYATGGTCTTTTTCAATGTACCGTTCCTACACAGGGAGAACACCAAACCCTGACTGTGATTTAGAAGGGATGTCCACTTGCTCAGCTAGGAGTTATGAGGGGAATGCATTAACTTTGAGCCAAGAATCTGCACTATGCAGTTGTTCAAGCATGATAGAAATACTGGATTTTTCTCTAGGAGCATGGTCTGTCTATTGAGCATGAGTTCTGAGCATGTGGTCCATGCAGGAAATCACAATTCCTAGAACAGGTAATATTCCTGTGCAAAAAGCAGTAGGACTATATCAAGGACTTGGTAGAAGTGGTGTCAGACCATTTGGACAATATTTTCACGGCCAATATCAGTTTAAGCTTTTTCTTTTTGTCTGTGAATTAGAGGACAAGTTTCCTAGAATCGTTCTTTCTTAATCAGGATACACTCTTCCCATTGTTAAATGCATTTTCACATACCTTGCAGCATTTTGGTCAAGGTGTAGAAATCAGAGCTTTTAAACTTATCCCAGCTTCATCTGTCCAGGCACAGATGCCTCCRAAAGCTGCATGTAGAGTGAATTAAATTGCACATTCTGTCTCATTTGAACTCTAGTTGCTGACTGCTTTTACAGATGGAGCACTCAGAAGGCACAGTAATGCAAATAGGGGCTCTTTCCCAAGGCATAACTCACCTCACGGTAKGTACTCATTCTTCTCTTGTTCTAAAGTCACAAATGTGTTCTGCTAGAACTCACAGGAAGCTGGGAATTGCTGGTGGTAATTAAGAGTTAGTGAGTCTCTGTTCCTGTTAAATATCTCTTTACAGCCTGATGGGACATTCCATCAAAAAAAAAAAAACCGCCTGCTTTTAAATTGCTGGAGAAATTAAGTTTCATTTAGGCCTCTCTTAAGTTTTCATAAGCTCTGCTAGCTCTTTAACAGTGACAGATATTCATCTGCTTAAAGGAAAACAAATTGTTCAAAGATTTTGCAGGTAACCACTTCAGTCAYAGCAAAGGCTAGGAATAAGGTACAGATTTGAAAATTTACATGAGCTAAAACTACATGGAAAACAAGAACCAAAAAAAAAAACCCTCACTATTGCTTCCTCATTCTGTAGAAGCTAATTTATTAAAAAAATAAAAACAAGTGACTGAAGGACATAATGAAGACTTGTATAACATAGTTGAGTSATGTGCCATACACAAAATCTCCAAGAATTTCCTCAAGCAAAAAAATTTTGTACTGAAAAATTCTTTTTGATTGTGTGTGGCTCTCAGCCCCTCTGTTGTGAGCCTGATCTCACTGCAGCTGGGTCTGTGTGAGCTCAGGCTTTTTACCAACCACACTCACTCCTTCCCATCTTGTTTTCTCAGAGACTGCTAAGCCAGGACGAAATGCTGAATGACAGCAGGTTTTTAACACCTACCTTTGAAGACTGGAGATGATGCTTCAGCATGACCAAAACACTGCTGGTACCTCATGCCTGTCAGGAGTTTCCAGAGCAGCTGGATGCYACAGTGCAGGAAAGCTTGAACTCTCTCCTGCTACTGAGATTTCCTGAGTAGCATTTCCTATTGTCAGTGTAGCCACACATYACAGGTAACTCTCCTCTGTGCTGTTTTTCCACATGATGTCACATGAAACAGGGGTTGGGAGAGGAGTGGGACTCGTCCAGAGTCTGGAAAGCCAAGACTGGCAATGGTTTATTCTTTTATTCAATTGTCTTTTACAACATGTATGTTGATGTACTGTTATATGAGAGATCTTTTTTTAATTTTTTATTTTTATAATTAACTCGTAGTGCAGGAATCATTGGTACATTATTATAGGATGGGGGTTAAACAGAGCTACCTGAAAATTCAGATGGATGCTGGTGAGTGCAGCAGTGATGCCTCACTCACTACTCCTATGGTCCTGCCAGACTGGTCCCCATAAAGGATTTCAATCTCTCCTCCCTTTTACCTGCCCTCTTTTTATCTAAATAAGTAGGATGGGAAGAATGAAACATAATTCTGTCCATCAAGCCCTTGCTTTTATTAGCATGACAGGCTSCCATGTTTACAAATCTTTTCCTTGAGGCAAAAACAACCACAGCAGGAAATTGTAACTCTGAGCCTACCAGGAAAGCAGCAGAATAAAACAAAGATTTATTTCTTTAAAACATCTAACAAAATAAATCTGTTGCTGTTGTACTGGRCTAGACAGGACTGCATCAGATTAAATGTACCAGTCTGGAAATGCAGTGACCAGCTCAGGCACCATGGGCAATACTTTGCCAGGTCAGTTAGCCAACAGACTCACTAAAGCACTGCAAATGGGATATTCCAAACACGTTTTCCTATTTCTTTCAATTCTGTATTTATAACTCACTGTTTATTCCGTATTTATAACTCACTTGGCTGTGAATAGTCAAATCTGCAAAACAATTGATTCTTTTTTTAAATATATGTAGTAAGAAATCCTAATTAGCGTAACACCGGTATAAATGCTTATTTTTTGACTGCTATGAATAAATTCAGAATGTTCCCCTCTCTCTTGGTGCCTGTGGAATGATTTAACATAACTACATGTAGAAGACCACTCATCTTAATGTTTTTCCCTCAGAATTCATGTTTAATACTAGCTTAAGAGGTCAGACTAAATAACTTCCACACAATTCAAGATGACATCTCAACTTCTTAGTATTAAAACATACAAGGTAATTATGAAGTCATAAACTCCAGAAATTACATCAAGGGATTAAAAAACATACACACACAAAAATGCTGCACAGTTACAAATCAATTGTTCCTGTAGAAAAATATGCAGTACTTACAAAAAGGTGCCATTAATAWGCAAATGTACTGCTCTTGGGATAGCCAAGTTTGTCCAGGTTGGGCTGACAGGCAAACTGAATCATTGGAGGGGGCCCACACATGAGAATGAGGGTCTCACTGCCAGGAGGGGGCAGGTGGGCTTTCATCATGTCTGCAGTCACAAAGCCAGAGCTGTATTTCCAGTCTGCAACAAAAAAAATTAATTCAGTTAGTTTGAATCTCTGCACAGGCTGAAGCCTTTTTAAAGACCATTAAGGAGCTGAAAAATCAAGTTATGGCACCATCACTGTAAGGAGGAGAGGGTTAAATTTCTCTATTCAAACCTAGTGATCCTCTTCCATGGAGACAATGAGCATGTAGATAACAAGGATCTGGATCATAAGACATGAAAGTCTGTGAATAACTTATAAGATTTAAAAGAAATGAGCAGGTAGGAATAAAAAGGAAGAGTGAATTGGCTTTTCCAGTGAAGAGAGGTCACCCGGTGGCAGGGAGAGGTATTGAGACCTGTGCCACATTTTTCCAGGTTTTTTTTAAGAGATTGAGTGGTGAGGTGACAAAGTTTGATGGTAACAGAAGTTCTGCCATGTAGTTTAGTGATAACAGAAAAAAAATTAAAAGAGGAAAGAAATGCTAAATTAATTCAAGCAGCAGTATTATTGAATGCATCTGCCATTTGAAGTGGGCCAASTAAGAAAATGATGCCTTAATCTACACACATGGCAGCTCTGTTTCACCAGAATCTAATCTGGAGCTGCTGCAAAACAAAGATGTGCATATAATAATTACAACTATTTAATGTCAACAAAATGCTAACCTGATACAACCTGATTTGGGAGATAAAGCCCAAAACAGAACTGTTGATGAAAATGACAAAAAACTGCAATACATTAAAAGATCCACTGAGCAACACGTCTGACCCAACTCAGGTTAATTATGAGTTCTCACTTTATAAGCCCACCTGGTTTAGATCTCTTTTTCAAAGAGGATGTGGGGCAAGGTTTGTTCCTGAGGAGTTTAAAAGTGTAAGACAAGAACATTTGGTATTACTCTGATGTCCCCTTGAGCAGGAGAGAAGCTCTGACAGTTGTAGAGGGGTGAGTAAAGGCATTTCCATGTGCCCTTACCTTTTGGAGGTCTGTCCAGTGTGTACCACAGCCGAAATTGCTCAGGATGCTGCTTGGCAATGTCTTCCAGCTCAGCTCTCAGCAATATATCATTTTCTGTCTGCAAAATGAGAGTGCAGCTTAGCTCCAGACCATCCCAGGAGCCCTCTGATGGGAGCTCATCTGCCATTCACAATAAATACAATGATAAGTAAACACAAATCAAGAAAGTGATTTAGTTTTTTCCCCCTTCCATCATAACTGTTATCATTACAGGCTTCTGTAAATTCAGAGTAGGAGAAGCGAAGTATGAGGCTTAGCAGCCACCTAAACCCAGTCCTAAAGAYGGCAATTTGAACAACTTTTTAATCCAGGCTAAAACCACACCGAGCTGGATTTGGCCCTGGCCCTGGCAGAGATGTCCCTGGACCAGCATGGTGAAGGTTAAATGTACAGACAGATTAGCAGAAACAAATCCTGTTTCCTTGAAATCAGTGATGGACTGAGTAGAAGGATCAGGATCTGGTCACAACATTTATTCCCTAAGACACAAATTAAGTGAAACTATGAGGAGACACCTATGTATAAAACAGTATGAAACATGTGTCATCAATTTAGAAAGCTCAGAGGCCAGCAAAAACAAGTGGGCCTTTAAAGAACAACCAACTGCTGGGGCAGAGTACTCACCTGATTGGCAAAAAGGAGGTAACATTTTGTGGTGTCCTTAGGATCGTTTGTGATCTGACGGATCAGCTGCAACATAGGAGTTATTCCTGTTAAAAAACAAAATTGTTATAAAAAGGGTGTTTCCTTCTCTGGCTACAGTTTCAGTATCAATGCTGCCTTCCTTCAGAATTCAGAGGGAGCCTGGTTTGTACAGCGCTACACATCTCTGATACAGATGCAGTGGTTGGAGGTTTCTATTATTACAAATCATTTCAAAACAAAACCACAATTCTTGTATGCAGGGCTTTTCCCTTCAGCATTCTGTAGCACATAATTTTTCRCTCAAGACATTCTCCTGACATACTTTTTGTTACTCATGAAGTGGGTTCTGAGGTCACAAGGTAAATCAATATTCAAACCCTCAGGTTGTGACTCCCCAGGACTGAACTCTAGCCACTGGAATACCTCACTGCTGTCACCATGAAAAGAAATTCATGAAGAGAAATGCAGGAGTAAGTATTCAGCTGCTAAGGTACAATGATACTCCTCACACACATCCATAAAGACATTTTCACTCCCTAGACACTCCATATGATGGGATTAGTTTTACCTGTTCCTCCAGCTATCATCCCGAGRTGCTTTGCAAACTTCTTCTCTGCTTCAGACTTCTTATTAGGCTTGATAAGAAAGGTACCTAGAAGAAATATTCAAAAGCCATACATTAGCTTCCAAACAGACATGGATACAGATTCCATAGGAATAAATTCTTACAGACAGCCAATGAATTAAGACAAATCTGGAAATCCCTGGCTTCCTCTGATTCATCAGGAGATTGTAGATCACAGGAGGTCAAGATCCAGAGAAGTGCTGAGCCCTCTGAGGTTAAACTTAAGTGCACAACTCCTCTCAGTGGAGATCAGTGCAAAATATTTCACWTGTATCCTACAAGAGGATTATTTCCTCACAGTCAACTCAGTCCTGGTTTAATTATGAAATGCAGCTGGCTCTCAGGCAGGTGGTTACTCAGTAACAGCACTGAGATTCTCAGTGGGCATTTTAAGCCACAACCTTAAGAAGCACCTGAACATCTCCCTCCATATGTAGAGCTGAGGTATTRTTTCCAGTGCAGACTTCTCAGTCATATAATGCCATAGCAATTTTTTCAAATTTATAATCCCAGGAGTGAGACAGTCATCAGTTATTCCTCGCACAAAGTAAATACAAAGCACTCTTTCCCACCACATCAACTCTAACAGGCTCTTGATCAAGTCCAGGAAAGATGCACTTTCTTTTTTCCACTTAAAAAAAAATTCTCTAAAAGTTGTCAAGTTTTATAAAACACCTCTAAAATAACCAATACAAGGTTTGGCTCTCCCACCTTTGTGTCACAGTACCTGTCCCCTTATACACAAGGAGTCCATTTGGCCCTCTGAAATCAATGGTRTCTCCAATCTTCATGTTATCCAGATACTGGGACATCTTCCCACCTTCTGGAAACTTGGGGTGCACATTTTTGTGGTAGACCTGTAAAAACAAATCAGTTGTATGTTATCAATCACTAACTTTCCTGCAGACAGTATTACAAACT